CTGTTTGTGACATTTCGACATTCTCGAATGTCAACCAGAATGTCATATTATATACAGAATACTCTTTCGTAAGTTTAGGGAAAATGTCTGAATGTATCTGAATAAAGTTATACCTTATCTAGTTATGAATGAGCGCAGCTTCAGCTCTGACATAGAAACATATTATATACTGAGAAACTAATATTTTGATTGACCTTGGTAATCACAATGTCTTCGTATCTTCAGGAGAGTTATGATGCTTTATTGGATTCATGAGACATTGAATAGCTAAAGTTTTTTGGTGCTGGATTTTTTTTCTTTTCTTTTGTGTGAAGAAACTTCTACATTATTTTGATTTTAGTATACGTAATGCATACTGGAGTATCTACGCCAGTTTGCTTTACGTATATAATAAAAAACTTCAAATTACAGGAAATTTTGACAACTTTGTTACTGGGCTGATGAATCCATTTAGTGGATATTTTTAATTTTGTATACATACAGAGTAAAGTAATAATTCCAATAAACAATGCAGGCTATAAAAAAATATAAATATCAAACAAACCTACTTCTAAAGGAAACTTAATAAGCATCGAAAGGTATTATACAGAGGGTTGAGTACGTTATATTAAAACACAATGAAATATGCGAATCTACAAGTCACATGTCAACCGCAGTCGATATAAAGTAGCGGTGGAACGGAATGAATCAGAATTACATTTGAGATTGTTTGGCGTTACGAAGATAGCGTGATGCCATCAAAAATTGATCACTTTTGAGAAGGGCATGTAACAGCCCTTTCGGGCGAAAATATTCATATACTCAGATCGTAAAGATGTATTCAGATTGGGGATTTAGTATTTTGAAGACGAGGATATCCCTTGTACTTAAAGGCAGTGGAAAGAAAAATGAATGTGTATCAACTTAGGGTACCAGGACCATCGAAAAGATACTTGCAACAAGTCTTATTCCAGTTGTAGTAAGGAAAGACATCTTCAAACAGGTGAGAGTCCACGAACACAAAGGTCAATGACAATAGCCGTCCAATACGCATCATAATCACGAATAATTTCCGTCTGGAAAAGAGGCCAACAGGGCTCGCCAAAATAAGGCTTTCAGATCTGTTCAACCGTCGGATACATCAAACAACTGGAGAATGAAACGGGTATTTTTGCTATTCCGTACGAATATACACCGGTTAACTCGTCGGATGCAGCATCTATAAACTTATGTGAGACTAGACTATTAAAACGGGCGCTGGAAAACCTTCGTCTTCGTACATAATATATTATGGAAAGCCTGCATAACTATGGAGCCTTTTCAATAAAAACTACGCTACAGGGCTATTGTCGAGATGCATGGTCGTCAGAAAGAGCACTACTGAACATAGCGACATGGAATGTAACGAGGTGTTGAGACTCCAAAATGGTTTTAGTATAACGTACTTAACTTCTATATTTGTAGTTGACGGCACATATAAGTTCATTAAAACATTTGTAAGATGATGAAATTAACAAATCTGTGCTTATTAATTCCTTACCAGCTGCAAAGTAAACAAACCATTTCAATTAAAGTTTCTGATAATTAAGCAGTTAATACAAACAAATAGATTAAGCAATATACTATAATATTTTGCTTTTGTAATAAATCAAAATAATACAAACTGACTAGGATCATCTTATTAACCTTCTTCTGTTTACTAGCACTTAAGACATGTTGTAGTTTTACTAAATGTTTACACTGGTATAGTTGTTAGACACAGATCAACTCCACTGTATTCAGACGTGGAACAACTTGAAATTGCATGTTCTTGCCGGCTGTAGTTTATCTTGCTTTGAGTACTACTTAATGAGAAAATATGTGAAATATTAATGAAACTGAAAATCGCTATAATATGTCTCGTTGGTTACTAAAACATCATTTTCCGACAGATATTTTTAGGTAATTCCTACTATCTTCGTATCGACAGGTTTGTTTATTGTCCTTAATTTATGTTTATTTGTAAACGTTAAAGCTAACTAACTACAGTAAATACATATATTTGTGTAGAACTTAAACTATTTATGTTCTATGTAGTGAAAACCTATACAAATTAACACACTTATTTTGTATTTAGTAAAGACCTATACAACTAAGACCCAATTTGCATGTAGTGTAGAACGTACAGACTGGCATAAAATTTATATATGGTGCACAAACTAACACACAATATCAATATGACGAATACATATAAACACTAACACAAAATCTGTATATGGTGAAGGCCTGTACATACTAACTTTCACCATATACAGATTTTGTGTTAGTATGTACAGGCCTTCACCATATACAGATTTTGTGGATATACAGATTTTGTATCTGGTTTATTTACATGCTAACATATTTTTTTTGTTTCGTATGGTGTTTCTCACACCTCCAAATAATGTTGGAGGTGAGTATCCGGGAGTAGGACTGGCGTCCTCGTTCGGACACCGGGTGAGCATGTTTCGGTGTGACGGGGATTCGAACCCGCGACCCGCAGATTGCGAGTCGAGTGCCCTAA